AGGTTATATTATGAACCAGGGCTTAAAGTCATCTTAAACATGACTTTTACATTTTGAAATGCTTACTGTACTAAAAACTGTATTTTTGTTAGTGTGAAATCCCTTTCTGAGTTCATTGATGGACATAGCTCTTCTGAATCTTGACCAGAGGGTTATAGTACCACCTACAGGAGTAGGACACTAGGCAGAAAAAGAACACAGCACTGCCTATGGCCAGTCTTAGCTGGTATAAATCCCCCTCTCTGCTGTAGGCAATCCAATTAGTTACAAAGGAGAGGTAGAAAGAGAACTCCCACAGAGGGGTGGGTGTCCATCAATGAATTCAGAGAAAGGAATTTTACGATGAATAAAAATCTAATTTCCTCTTACGTTCATTGATGGACACAGCTCTTCTGAATCTTGACCATAGCGATGTTCCAAATCAGTGCCTCAGCGAGGGGTGGGCAAACCAGAAAAAAACTGGAAATAGCCAGGGAAAAAGCCAACCCTCAAACAACTCCGAAGGGACAAACAAGGAACCATAACCAGCAGCCTGCAACCATGCAGCTAAAATAAGCATTGGCAGATGGCAACATAACCTGGCAAAGTTTGCAAGTGTGCACAAATGACCAAACAGCAGCCTCATAGACCTGAAACACAGATGCCAGAAAACACAGAAGGCACCATCTCCCTAGTGGAACATGCCGTAACAGGGAAGGGAGGAGCCTGCCCTTAAAGTGTACTCTGGATCCAAGTGGAAAACTGGATCCAATGGCTGCTGGATCCAATGGAAAACTGTGGCAAGGAAGTCCGCTAGACTTGTCCTGAGGCCATCCGCGAACATGAGAATACTAGGCAGAAATAACAGGATTACCTATAGCAGAGAGAGGATATATAGCAGCTAGATGCAGAGTTCTTTTTCTGCCTAGCGTCCTACTCCTGTATGTGGTGTTATGTGCTCAAGAGTCAAAAGAGCTGTGTCCAACAATGAACATAAGAGAAATGGAGATTTACAGATTAGCCAATAGAAGCAGCATTTTATTTGGCCCAGTCCCATGCAAACTCTCTCTTCAAGGGGTTAGTTCACCTTTACCAAAAAAAAAATATCCTATCCTGTGCGGTTCTCACTAAAGAATGCCCTTGTTATAGGTGTAGGGCTAGGCCATTTACATATCTCCCAAAGCCTGACTAGAATACTCCCAGGATGTTCCTAGAACATTGTTAAGTGAGGCCTAGTCATTATTGCTCACCTCCGTCATCACAGGAGTATGCTCTCAAACACCCAGCTCAGAGCTACAGTATCAGGGAGAGAAAGAGCATGTGAGAGGGCCTTGAATCAGAGAAAGAGCTTGCTCTGCAATCTATTACTGACATAAAAATAGTCTGAGGATATTAAGAGTGGCACTGAGTGCAATATGACTTCCCCATTCTCTCCACACAGTTTAGCATTGTCAGACCTCATTATCATCAGCCCCTGGGGCCAGTTCTCTAAAGAATTATATGAGGTTTACAGGCCAGAGAGGAGAAATGAGAATTGCAGATTGCAACAATCCAAATGGTGTCAACTTGGCAAGGAAGTAAGGGAAATCAGAAACCTGACAGGGGACCTAAACCTTTATTGTACCCTATCCAAAACTGGAAACACAGCGGTACCTCGGTTTACGAACACCTCAGTTAACGTAATTTTTGGTTTAAGAATGAAAATCCGTTGAAAATAATGTTTCGGTTTAAGAATTTTCTACGCAATACGAAGAAAGTTTCCGCAGGATGCATTGCGACTGGCAGGTTTATAGCGCTGCCCCCGTGCATGCTGGAGTCTGTGGGTAGCACGTGGCGTCGAGTGTGGAGGTGTTGGAGTGGTTTTTGCTTCGAGTTTTGAAGCCATTCTGGAAATTTTTTAATCATGTCCCTGTACAGTATTTATGCCTTTAAAGTGCTCTTTATAAAGAGTTTTGAACGGATAAAATACTTTTTTTTATTACTTTTTTCTGACCTCCGGAACGGATTAATTGGTTTTCCATGCATTTCCATCGGAGACCACACTTCGGTTTACGAATTTTTCGCAATACGAAATGTCCCGGTGAACACATTAAATTCATAAACCGAGGTATCACTGTAAGTTTATGCATTTCATATAAGCACATTATAGAACATTAAAGTGGCTGTAAAGCTAAAAGATTTTTTTTCACCTTAATGCGTTCACTGCATTAAAGTGGTTGTAATGGCTCAAGGTTTTTTGCCTTCATGTGTGCAGCAGTGCCCCCAGCCCCCTCAATCCTCACCTGAGCCCCATCGAGATCCAGCAATGTGCAGACAGCCTCGGCTGTCCCGGGTGTCCACCTCCTCATTGGCTGAGACAGCAAGCGGGAGCCATTGGCTCCCACTGCTGTCAATCACAGCCAGTCAGCCAATGAGGAGAGAAAGGGGACAGGGCAAAGCCGTGGCTCTGGTGTGATTGAACCCACAGAGCAGCAGCTCAGGAACAAGCCTGCTAGGGTACCCCCATAGCAAGCTGCTGCTATGGGGGGTACCTGACAGAAAGGAGTAGCCAGGAGTGGCAGAGAACCTGAGAAGAGGAGGATCTAGGCTGCTCTCTGCAAAACCACTGCACAGAGCAAGTAAGCATACCATCTTTATTTAAAAAAAAAAAAATGAACTTTTAATATCGCTTTAAGATAAAAAAAACCTTTTGCATGCAGCTCCCCCCACAGCCCCCCAAAATACTGATCATAGCCCAATCTTGGTCCAGCACTGAGGACATTTGCAGCAGCTTCTCTCCCTAATCCTGGCTCTCACAGGCTTGGCTGAGAGCAGTGGAAGCCATCGACTCCTGCTGCTGTCAATCAAAACCTGTGAGCAGAGAGCGGGGGGCAGGGCCAAGCCAGGCTATGTGTCTAAATTGACACAAACAACTCGGCTTGGGAGCGAGCCTGCAAGAATGCCCCCACAGATAGTGGCTTCCTTTGGTGGACACTCGGTGGGGGGACCGCAGAAGAGAAAGATATGTGATGGTTTGTGCAAAACAATTGCACAGAGCAGGTAAGTATAACATGTTTTTATATTTTAATAAAACTAAGGGAAGCTTTAGTATTTTAAGCTCTGCAGGATTTTTTTTTTTTTTTACTGATAGTATTGCATAGTATTTGTCCAATCACCTGTCATTATTTCCTATGTATTTATATAGCATTAAATATAGTTAGTACACCTATAGCCATACATGGTTTTCTACATAATGGCAACTTTTGCCTTTTCCCACATTGTAGGCGGCCATTAAGGTCTACATGCTATTCATACCTACACATATCAGCATCTGAAAATTTAAGGGTGCATTAACACCTGCGAATGCACCCTGTCAATGATTACATATGAGAACTACCTGTGTCCAGGACTAATCACTCGCATGTAATTGCAGCATGAGAGATTACATGCGAGTAGGTGTAATTAACTGTAAAAGCCGGAAGCCTCCCATTACTTTCAATGGTGCTGCCTACTTGCAGATAATCGCGGGAATCTGTGGGAAATCCTTCTATTGGAGCATCTTTGTAAATGGTGGGAATCCCTATCGGCAGGATATTCAATATCTAAAAAGCGTTTTTTGACTCTTAAGCTTTTGAGAGTCCATTACATTTGGTGAGTGTAATATATATTGGTTATCATGGATGGTGTCAATACACTGAAGTTTCTTTTGCACGGGACACATCACTATTTCTTTGGAGCATATTCGATGTGGAATATTTTCATTTTCTTGGATTGGGACTTTTTTATTGTTTTGATTTGGACATTATTATCATTTATGTTTATTTATATAATGTTTTGCACTGTGTTTTCTTTTTACACATTTTATATATACTTGCATAATATACAATGTCTAACAGTTTTATTTAGAAAAAGTCCACATTGTCAATAGAAACACCTGTCAGCATGCTGTATCCTTGCACTCTGTATGGAGGCAGAAGACTCTCTGCAGAGGTCCAAAATGCACCTGACCTGTCCCCTGCATTCAGACCTATAGCTCTGCAATCTGCAAAATGAAAGCCATCTGCTGAATTGATAGCACTAGCTTTGACTCCTTGAGATACCTGCTCTACCATATGCAGAAGAATTTGAATCACTATAGAGGGGGCCAAATTACAGGGAACAACAGAATAAAAAATCGTGCAGGGCTTTTATCTTTTGATTAACAGTTAAAGAGTTACCAGAACAATCCTACGGGTAAAACTGAAAACGCATATGATATTTTGCTTGTAAAAGGGTAATAAAAAAAGAAAATTCACCAACAGAAAGGGCACAAGTGTACTTTTGCTTTCATCGAAACTATGACATCATATGTGGTCAAAGGCCATGTGACAACTTGAATACTTAAAGAATAACTGACACACATTAAAAAAATACAACACAGTTGCACAATGTAATATTACTGCACAAACATAGTTCTTAAAATAACTTTGCACTGTTAGTCATTATCAGACTAAAGGACTCATGCACATGATATAAATGCTGTGTTCTGATTACACTGTGCTGAGCACAAAGCTGCATAAAGCTAAAAATTGTACGTTCCCGGTCCAATTTATTTTACATGGTACGCACGCAAATCTGTGCAAACGTTTACATGTGGATAATGTGTAAATGCTGCCGCTGCATAGTGTGGATGTGTTTCTGTAAATCCCACCCACCCCTAAATTATTATATTATTATACAGGATTTATATAGCGCCAACAGTTTGTTCAGCGCTTTACTATATAACGGGAGACAATGCAGCAACAATACAGTTCAATACAAGAGGGTTAGGAGGGCCCTGCTCCTTGGAGCTTAACCACCTCCCGCCCTCCATATAGTAATATGACGGACACAAGGGGGTTCTCTTGTTCTGGGAGGATGTCATATGACGTCCTCCCATTCTCACCATGGATGCGTGGCTCAGGGAGCACGCAGCGCAGCGATCGGCGGTGCGCTGTGTCCCTCGGACACAGCGGATCACCGATCACGAAAAGAGCCGAAGATGTCGGCTCGGTCATGTGATCAGCTGTGTCCAATCACAGCTGATCACATGTAACAGAGAAATGACGGTTATCGGCATTTCTCGCCTCTCGAGCTGTCACACTGACGGTAATCGGCTTTCCGCGGAGGGGACATGTACACTGATCATCAGGGCACTGATGATCAGTGTGCCCTGATGATCAGTGTAGCCCCAGCAGCGCCACCTGTCAGTGCCTTGTGTCAGTGCTCATCAGTGCTTCATGCCAGTGCCCATCAGTGCCAACCAGTGCACATCAATGTCACATATCAGTGCCCATCTGAGCTGCCTTTCAGTGTCACCCATCAGCGCCTTTCAGTGCCACCTATCAGTGCCAGTCAGTGTCGCCTATCAGTGCCGGTCAGTGCCGTCTATCAGTGCTGCCTATCAGTGCTAATCAGTGATGCCTGTCAATGCCCATCAGTGCCACCTACCAGTGCCTCATCAGTGCCACCTATCAGTGCCCATCACTGCAGCCTCATTAGCGCATATCAGTGAAGGAGAAACATCACTTATTTACAAAATTTTATAACAAAAACTAAGAAAAACTTTTTTTGTTTTCAAAATTTTCAGTGGTTTTTGGTTTGTTTAAGAAAAAATAAAAAACCCAGAGGTGATTAAATACCACCAAAATAAAGCTCTGTCACAAAAAAAAATGATAAAAATTTAATATGGGTACATTGTTGCATGACCGCGCAATTGTCATTCAAAGTGCAACAGTGCTAAAAGCTGGAAATTAGCCTGGGCAGGAAGGGGGTATAAGTGCCATGTAGGCTAGCGGTTAAATAACTAGGCAGCAGTGGCGCAAGATGACCTCGCTCTTCAGTCATTCTAAAGTACTGAAGGCTAAGGTTATTTCGTGCTTGCGTCACCACCACTGACTAGTAAACAACTCATTCATTCAGAGAATTTTTCTCAAAATTCACTCAGTAAGTGGCCCTCCCAGGTCGCTCAGTTTGACAAGATATGATTTTTCAATCAATTTTTGTTGAAGTAGCCTGCTGAAAAAATTTCAGCTAAACAGCAGCTGTATCCCAACAGATGAATACAATAGCCCAGCAGGGGGATTTTGACCATTCATGCTCTGGAGTGTGGAGAGAGCAATCTGTTAGATTTTTTTTCATTCATTCCTTATGGCCAACTTAAGGGTTCATTCACACCAGATGTCGTGGGACTACGTTGGCCGGCTATTCCAGCATAGTCCCACTACATAACAAGGCAAAATATTCCTATTCTCCTTTGTGCCCGGTTCATACCACAACATGTGCGGTGTATGCAGTACATTTTTCAGTGCAGCGCAGTGCGAGAAAATCAACTGCCCCCCACCATATGGTGGCCAACTGAACTTTATGAAATGTCTGTGTGACATTTCAATTAAGTTTATTTTAAAAAATGTAGCGTTACCCCCGTAGCAGCCACTTAATAGAAGAGGACCTCTGTGCCATCGACGACCTTCAGAACACTTCGCCCCCTCTTCCTCCTGTCCTCTTTCTCCTTCTCTACCATCTAGGCCTAGCATATCCCTGGGTGCCTTGGTTTAGTCATGTGTCTTGCAACTACACCAGGAAGTGTCACAACTAGCTTTCCGCATACAATAAAAAAAAGCATTAGGCAAAGTAATAAAATAGAATTTTGCTGTATTGACACAACTCAAAATAGTGACAATGTGAACAATCAGGTGTATCAACTGCAACAAACAGGTAAACAGTTATAAATGGTAAACATAACTGACATAGAATGAACTCGCTAACCAGACTCAGCCCAGCGGCAGCAATAGCCCTGATGTGCAACCATGGGAGCTGGAATAGGAAAATACTGGATCAGGAGGCTATGCTGTCCCAAGCCACCCAGGGATATGCTAGGCCTAGGCGGTAGAGGAGGAGAAAGAAGACAGAAGGAAGAGGAGGAGTAAGACAATAGCAATTCTGAGGAAAAACAATATCCTAATATCCTTAATATTGTCCTACAGGGGATTCTAGATCTTCTGCCGGCAACGTTTGGGCCCTATTATTGTCTTGGACACATATAACGCTGATGTTTATGGTTCTGCTAGCAGAGAGGTACTTATAGGGAATATACAGGGCTGGGCTGAGTTCTGCTCTCAGAATACCAATAGTATAACGGGAATTGCTCTCAGAGTGATGTTTTAACTGGGCACACATCCCTCTCACCAATTTTCAGATGTGACTGTAGTCCTGCTGAGACTCCTGTTATGATGATGACCATTGCACCGCTGAGAAGAGACAGCCTCTGTGTACAATGCCTTGAAAAAGTATTCATACCCCTTGAAATTTTCCACATTTTGCCATGTTACAACCAAAAACATAAATGTATTTTATTGGGATTCTATGTGACAGACCAACACAAAGTGACACATAATTGTGAAGTGGAAGGAAAATGAAAAATGTTTTTCAAAATGTTTTACAAATAAATATCTGAAAAGTCTGGTGTGCATTTGTATTCAGCCCCCTTTACTCTGATACCCCTAATTAAAATCTAGTGGAACCAATTGCCTTCAGAAGTCACCTAATTAGTAAAGAGATTCAATCTGTGTGTAATTTCATCTCAGTATAAATACAGCTGTTCTGTGAAGCCCTCAGGGGTTTGTTAGAGAACATTAGTGAATAAACAGCATCATGAAGGCCAAGGAACACCCCAGACAGGTCAGGGATAATGTTGTGGAGAAGTTTAAAGGGTTAGGTTATAAAAAAAAAAAATATCACAAGCTTTGAACATCTCACAGAGCAGTGTTTAATCCATCATCTGAAAATGGAAAGGGTATGGCACAACTGCAAACCTACCAGGACATGGCAGTCCACCTAAACTGACAGGCCGGGCAAGGAAAGCATTAATCAGAGAAGCAGCCAAGAGGCCCATGGTAATTCTGGAGGAGCTGCAGAGATCCACAACTCAGGTGGGAGAATCTGTCCACAGGACAACAATTAGTCATTCACTCCACAAATCTAGCCTTTATGGAAAAGTGGCAAGAAGACAGCCATTGTTGAAAAAAAGCCATAAGAAGCCCCGTTTGCAGTTTGCTGTGTCCCCCACATGGCTTCTCAGAAACATGTGGAAGAAGGTGCTCTGGACAGATGAGACCAAAATTGAACTTTCTGGCCTAAAAGCAAAACGCTATGTGTGGTAGAAAACTAACACTGCACATCAGCCTGAACACACCATCCCCACCGCGAAACATGGTGGTGGCAGAATCATGTTGTGGAGATGCTTTTCTTCAGCAGGGACAGAGAAGCTGGTCAGAGTTGATGGGAAGATGGATGGAGCCAAATACAGGGCAATCTTAGAAGAAAACCTGTTAGAGACTGAAAAAGACTTGAGACTGGGGAGGAGGTTCACCTTCCAGCAGGACAACGACCCTAAACATACAGCCAGAGCTACAATGGAATGGTTTAGATCAAAGCATATTCATGTGTTAGAATGGCCCAGTCAAAGTCCAGACCTAAATCCAATTGAGAATCTGTGGCAAGACTTGAAAATTGCTGTTAACAGACGCTCTCCATCCAATCTGACAGAGCTTGAGCTATTTTTCAAAGAAGAATGGGCAAAAAATTCACTCTAGATGTGCAAAGTTGGTAGAGACATACCCAAAAAGACTTACAGCTGTAATTGCAGCAAAAGGTGGTTCTACAAAGTATTGACTCAGGGGGGCTGAATACAAATGCACGCCACACTTTTTACAGATTTATTTGTAAAAAATTGTGATAATTTATCATTTTCCTTCAACTTTACAATTATGTGCCACTTTGTGTTGTTCTATCACATAAAATTCCAATACATTTATGTTTTTGGTTGTAACATGATAAAATGTGGAAAATTTCAAGGGGTATGAATACTTTTTCAAGGCACTGTAACTGAGCGCAGCGCCTTCCCCTCTTGAAGATGCTGGTACACCCTGGTATACTCACTAGTGGCCGCTCCTTATAAGGCCTTCTGACCCTTATTCTGCCACAAGACTTCATGGGAGTTGCAGTTAAATCAGGCCATAATACAATGTTAGAAGGTGGTTTCAGTCCCATAATTCTTTGCTTCTTATTCAATGGTAATGCCCCCTCTAGCGATCAAGAAAGGGCACTAGCATGTTACAGCACCGGCATTACAATGAAATGAAAGTCACTGGGCACAGTAGTGTCTCCTCTCCTCCATACTTGTAGCCCAATTCTTGAGTACAAAAAAAAAAAAAAAGCAAACAGTGCGATGTTGGCAGTGCATCAAGCCTGCCACCGCTGGACCACACCGCACACCGGCCACTGCATTGCAGAGCAACGACTGGTGTGAATTAGCCCTAAGTATTCCTATACAAATTCATACCTGGAAGAAAAGATAGCCGATTAATTACCTGGTCCTACAGGTGGGGGGGGGGGGGGGGGTCAGAATAAAGCTAGTGATAGAACAAACTGATAACTGATATACAGGACTAGCAACAGATGATTGTAGTGTGTTCCCTATTTCACTAGTAATACGCACAAAGGGGGATAGGAAACAAAGGAAAATATCCCCAGCAATAAATCATTTCTAGAAAAAAAAAAAAAACCTTTGGTTATTTTATTGAAGTCTTTGTCCAAACGAAAAACAGTGTGAATTTCACCAGTGAGGACATGATCAGCAGTGAAAACCAAAGAAAACTTCAATTTGTTGAATAATATATCCCAAATGCCAATAAAAAGCACTTTTTGTTCATTAAAGAGAACCTGTCACAATTAAATGCTATCATATTTTCATATTTTGAGCCCCCACATACATACTGTACATATGTAAATGTACACAGTAGGAGAACTTACATACCAAAGCAATAGTTGCACATCACACATTGGTGTGCACTTCGGAATGAAAACAATCATTCTAGGGCCATTATTCATAATTCTTAACTCTAAACTAATGCTAAAGATTATATGACATTTTTATTACCGAGGAGGAATTAAAGCAGAATTAATCTCAGCAGTTTTTTTTTTTTAATGCCCCCCCCCCCCCCCCCCCCCCCAGGAGCTGTTAGGCATAATGTTCTGCACTTTATGGCAGACTCACATGATCCCCTCCAGCGCTGCGCTGTCATCTCTCCCACTAATCACAGGTATGTCTGTCTTCTCCCAGTCTTCATTCTGGGTTTGGACTGTTCAGACAGTTGATTAGATGGACTGCCATGATGCCACTTGTGTGGGATTCACATCATCACGGTACAGAGCTGTAAATGTACGCTGAGCTGCACATGCACGGTTCAGTGTACATTACTGCTGACAGGCAGGAAGAAGCACTTATGACATAAGAGACCAATAGGGTCTCTTCTATCATGAAAACTCTGGCTCTCAGCATTTGTTTCTCCCAGGTTAAGTTTCACTTTAAGGGAACACACATTATTGTCAGTCAACATCAGCTGTAAATTACCTAATGACGGCGTTTTAACCTCATCATAACCATAATAATGTAATAGTTTGAGTTCATAGCACTGATGAAAGCAAAGAAAACCTTCAAACAAATGCAAATGAGA